AATCTCCTCTTGACCTAACAGTGCAGTATGGTGTTGGAAAACTGATCCACATGTACCGTTCAGTACACTGTCTATTTTTCAAACCTGTGTGAGCCCAGATACTATTCAACAGTCTCTTTAATAATAATAATGCTTGCATTTGATATAGCGCTTTATCATATCATTGAGACATCTCAAAGCGCTTCACAAGATATATTGTAAAGTGGAGTGACTGTGTATTTTGCGTATAGTAGTGTCCCACAAACAGTCATCAATTGAATAGCCAGATTATGATTATTATTTTTTTTTTTTGGAGGTATTAGAATCCCCAGAAAGTGATCCAACAATCGACTAACAACCGGGATCTTACTTACTGCTAGGTAAACAGAGGTGTGTGAAGTAGAAACTTGCCTAAGGTTTCGCCCTGCCTGGGAATCGAGTTTACATACTATTTCTGGCAGAGAGACAATACAATACAAATTTGTCATTAATATAGTACCGTTCCCATCAGAAGGATGTTCCAAGGCACTTAACCACATGGCTTGTGACCCTAGCTAGGAGTAGGAGCTGAGGCGGGAGGAGAGGAAAGGTGACAGAAAGCATGGTCAAGGAGGTAGGTTTTGAGATGGACCTTGAAAGACAGAGGGAAGGATCAAGTCAGAGGGACTCTGTGATGGAGTTCCAGAGAGCGGGCAGAAAGGCCACCTGTCAATGCTGGGGCAGTTAGGGCAGGGGACATGAAACAGACTGGTGCTCACTGTGTGAAAGGAGTGGCTGATTTGGTAGGGTAGTGGAATATGAGAGGAATTACTTCATCTCTTTGTCAAGATGACGGGTGGCAATGTTCATCTCTTCTAGTCTTGCTTGATCCACAGCCCTCTCCTTTTCCCTAGCACATTTCCTTAGTGTTCGGTCGATCTCATGACTCAGGCGTTCGTTTGCTGCTTCACGCTCCCTCTTCAACTCCTCCAATAGATGTTGTTTCATTTTGGTCTCAATCTTCTTTAATTCAACCTAAAAAGGCAAATTAATACAACAATAACTTGTACATATAGAGTACCTTTCATAGCTGAGTTGCATCGCAAAGTACTTCAGAATGATGATAGAAATTACCATGTAGGGAAGAAAAGAGGGGAGTGTGAGGCTGTTGATTAAAAACATGGAAAGAGACAGTTTTAAGAAGTTTTTGAAGGCAGTGAGAGAAGGTACAAGGTGAACAAACTTTGAAAGAGAGTTCCAAAGAGTTCCAGAGATACACTTTCATTACATCGAGGCTTGATTACGCAAACTCCTTGCTTTTTGGCCTCACCAACTCCTCCATGGTCTTGCTCCCCACTGCCTCTGCGATCTCCTAACCCCTACCATCCTGCCCACTCCTGCCCACTCCACTCAGCGGGCTTCGGCCTGCTTCACGTCCCCCGCCTCGTTCGCCCCACTATTGTCAGGCGAACCTTCTGCCACTCTGCCCTCACCCTCTGGAACACCATCCCACAGTTCCTCCGCCTCGTCCCCTTCCTTGCCTCCTTCAAGATCCATCTCAAGACCCTCCTCTTCGACCACGTTTTTGATCTCCCTGCTTTCCCCCCTGCTCTCCACCCTCTCCGACCCCAACCCCCAGCTTGGGTCCGAAACTCTGACTGTCCAGCGCTTTGGGACGTCCTCCTGACGTGAAAGGCGCTATACAAATGTAATTTTGTTGTTTTACAGTGACTAAAGATCCACCACACACGGTGGGAGATGGAAAAAATCAGATGAGCTGAGGGTTCAGGTAGCAGAGTAAGTTTTGAGGATCCTGCAAAGATATGGTGGGCAAGATTATGTAGGCATTTAAAGGTTAAAATAACATTTCTCAAACATTAATGGAGAATAATATTAAATAAGCTATAATAATAAAGTTAAATAATATTTCTTTAAAATATTTATTCTGCAATGTAAATTACATCAACATGTAACATCTCATAAAAAATCTCATCTAACCCTCCTAGGATTTTTTAATTTTACATCCACCTTACAATCTGACTAAGATCAGAAATCATGAAGACAACTGAGCTGGCTCTAAGGTGAAGGGCTTGGCAATCGAATGTTGGAATCCAATCAACTTTCTAAGGGGTTTTGGTAGTCAGGTTGCTGAGCCAAGTGGGCCTATAGTATTCTAGCATATAGTTACAATACAATTTACATTTATACAATGCCTTTAATGTCAGGAGGACATCCCAAAATGCCTGCCAATTCCGGCTGGCCACTGGAGGTGAGGATAGTAACTCGGGGGCTGGGGGAGGAGAGGAAAGATAATTGAAAGCATGGTCAGGGGTACATTTTGAAATGTACCTGGAAAGTGGAGGAGAGGGAGCATAGTGATGGATTTCCACATGGGTCACACATCCAGCTGATCCCCCCAAAAATGAGAACAACTCCACGTGCTATCAGTCTATCATGTAGCATGATAGTACATCAGTGCATTATGCCACCAGGTCACCTTATAATAGCAATTTAATGTGCGTTCCTTTATAAAGTGAGCAAA